CTATCATTATCAAGTCTAGGAAGAATGATGTTGAATTTTGTTTTCACTTAAATTCATGACCAATGATGAGCATTTTTTTTAATTTTATTGTGCTTTGGGTGCAAAATTACAGAGCAAATTCTTTTTATGTTCAACAGTTTGTGTACATTTAATTTCATGCCCCCATTACTACCATCTCTGACCACAACACACTCTTCTCCCCTTCTGTCCCCATGACTACCCCCTCCCTGTGCCCTTCTTAACTATGCACTCCTGTCTGTCCAGCTTTCCCTCTAATTGAATGCTGCCACTCTGGTGTCTCAAGGCTGATTGCTCTAAGGAGCTTCAAATCAAAGTGCTATTGATGTTTGAGTACGTACATTACTAGTTCAAAAAGAGAAAAATAGTAATATTTTATGGAAACTGTATCATATAAACCATAAATACTCTATCTTCAATATTTTACAGAAAAGATAAACTATCCATGTTTAGAAAAGTTCAAATCTACAGCCCAAGTCAAATCTCAATCAAACTAAATTGTGAAAAAGGTGACTAATATATCATTATTCTCATCTCTCTGCATTACTTATTTCATTATTATTCCTTCTTTATGATATATATATATATAAAGCATATATAAATGCATATATATATATACATATACACACACATATATATATAAATTTTAGACTCAGAATTAGTGAGATTATATCTCTAAAAGACTATGAGATCCAACCAGAGACCATTGTTTTGTAAGGAATAATTAGTTTATTGTTTTAAATGCCTTGGAGTGGCATAAATGGTTAACACATTCCACTGCTAACAGAAAAGTTGGTGCCTTAATTCCTCTCAGAGGCACTGTGGAAGAAAGGCCTGACAACCTACTTCCAAAAAATTAGCCATTAAAAATCCTATGGAGCACAATTCTACTCTGACACACATAGGGTCACCGAGAGTCAAAATTGACTCAATTGCAACTGATTTGGATTTTTTTTTTTTTTAAATAGCATGTTTATGCTTCATAAATCTTAAATTAGGAGACACTCTTGATGATTTTATTAGGATAAATAAACTTTGAGAATTAAATATTTTATAGAAGCTTCAAAATATTGTCTGCACAAAATATATACACACATACAAAAATCAAGACATAAATAATTTCTTTAAAAAAAAAATTGCTACACAGCCTAAAAGCATAACTACTTCAAAAAAGTTCATACTTCTCCTCTAATGGATCATAACGCATCTTTTCAGTGAAACAACAGAATGCCTTCCCTTCAACGATTTCATAACGAGCTCTTCTAGGGCTTTCAAGTCCTGTCCAAAGGTAGCACAAATTGGAACATTATGGGGAAAGAACCACTATTTTTCACATCTAATATATGTAGAGAGAGAGAGATACAGAGAGAGAGATTCCCATTTGCTTTATGTCCTTGGTTTCAGTGAGTGATGTTGAACTACATTTAATATGGCATATGGATTGCTCAACCCATAAAGTTTAATATAAAAATGCACAAGTCTATCCAAAATTAGTCATCAATTATAATTTTCTTTAGTAATTTGACTTTGAAAACCATGTTTTTTCTTTTACTTTTACTAATTGTCATTATTGTGCAGGTCTAAAATAAGTCATTTTCATCATAATTCCGTTTTAAAGTATAATGTCTTGTGTTCTACTTGTGAAAAATAAATAATTCTTTCTGAGTTTTTGTTCATAGCTTTTCTCTAATTAGACAATCCAGGCTTGTGTGATACAAAATCAATGGATTTATAGGGAGAAAGTCAGCCAATCAAAAAATTTGACCTGTATTTCTTAAAATGCTTACTTTACTATTGCATCATATAGATAGATACATCAGTAGCCTCATGTCTTTTATTTCTCCACCTACCATCACAGGTTTTAGCAAAATATTTAAAAGTCTTTTAAAAGCATTATTATTTAAAACAAGTAATTGTTTATTACTAGAATAAATCTATATGATGAACCAAAAACTGTTTATATATAGCAGAATATAGAGATAACTGAGCCTAACTGTTCATTTGCAATTTCATTCTAATATCTTTATTAAATCAGTCTTATCTTGTACTGTTTGACTAGCTATGGTTTATAATAAGATGTTAGTATAAGTGGATGAGATTATTCTTCTCTGCCACAGAATTTTAGTAGCCAAGTTTCCCTTAAAAATAACTAATTCATGCAAAGTACTATAAACATCTTGTTTAATGTGTATAATCAATCTTTACAATTCAATCTTTGAAAGTCTGAAAAACAAACCTTATACATACGGCACAACAGCTTGACCTAAATGCTCAGCTCTGTTCTATTCTGTTCTGTGTATTGTACTTCTAAGTCTTATCTCAAAAATGTGAGTCTTAAATGGCAATATAAAGCAACTTATAAAAAATATTAAGTGGTAGAAAAATTCTTAGTAAAAATAATGGAACTTAGCAGAATAACAGACATACCTCAGTGATTAGTAAAATGAACCACTCCCTCCCAGCCCCTGAAAAGATGGGGGAGAGAACAAGCCAATAATTCAAGAAGTATGGCCAGCTGTATCCCATAACCTTTAATGGACCCAAGGAGAGAAAGTACAAGATGATAGTGCAGAGTTTCATGATTCTAAATGTGCTCCCATCCTCCCTGCCCCTACTACCAATAGTACTCCAGGAAGAGGAAGAGTCTAAACTAATTCTAAAAGTTCTTAGTTATGCTCTAAAATCTGGAGAAAAGCAGACTAAGAAATTGAGTAGGAAGACAAAGGAACAATAAGGAAAAATACTAAAGTATAAAAAAACATTGTCATCCAGTCAATTCTGACTCATAGCAACACTGTATGATGATGATACAAAAGAGTTGTTGTTGTTGTTTGCCGTCAAGTCGGCCCTGACTCATAGCGACCCCTCCTTGGGTTTCCGAGGCAGTATCACTACGGAAGTAGGATTGCCCAACCTGCCTTCCGAGGAGTGGCTGGTGGGTTTGAACCACCAGCCTTCTGGTTAGCAGTCAAGTGCCTTAGGCACTATGCTACCAGAGCTCCAGTAGAAGCCCCTAAAAACAGTAATGGAGCTCAGGAGATGTAGAAAAGACTAAGCTGGATTAGCCCGGGAGTAACTTGGAGTGCCGTGTATCTGAAGTCCTCAGGTGTGTGATTAAAAATCTGGATGAACTAGATGAGTCCTATTACAGGACATTTAGGAGGATCTCAAGAGAGTGATTTTCAACTATAGTTAGTATGTCGCTTGTGATGTCCAATTTATTACTAAATCTTTAATACTGTTGTTTTGTCCAATGTGTTTCCTTATATCTGCAATGATTTTTTTAAGTGGGCTATTTTGTATTACATTTCACTTTGTGTTTCTCTCTTACTGAATGTACATTCTCAGTAAGTTCTATAGCTGGAAATGTTTGTGGAGAACCAGCTTCTATAGCTTGCACTGTGTCCCTATTCCATCTGATTCTTCATTAGATCAATGTGAATATTGAAACTGTCCTTCTTTTCTTACTTCCCCATCTTGATGTGCTCAAAATGAATTAATTGTACCATGGATGTCATCTCACAAATGTAATACAGACCAAAGTGAAAGAAGCACAAAACAATACATACATTCTTATTTCACTCATATGAAGATTAAAATCAAGAAAAACTAATCCTTACTATTAAAACATCAGTATAGTGCCTTCTTTTCAAGGGGGAATAAATGGGATAGTGATTTTTAAGGCTTCTGATAATGCAAATAATGTTCATTTTTCTTAATTTGGGTGAAGTTTATGTGTGTGGGTCCATGTTGTGACAATTCACTGATTAAAAAAAAGAAAAACTCAATGTCATGGAGTCAAATCCGATTCATAGAGACCCCTCCTTGGGTTTCTGAGGCCATATCACTACAGAAGTAGATTGCCCAATCGTCCTTCTAAGGAACGGTGATAGGTTTGAATCACCAGCCTTCTGGTTAGCAGTCAAATGCCTTAGGCACTATGCTACCAGAGCTCCATAAAACATGGGTATTTTTTATAAGTTACAATTCAATTAAGAAAGCTTGAAAAATATCTGTATACTCACATAGAAAGATGTTGAAAAAAACAAAATTTTTTAATGAAAAGAGTAAGTTCAATAAAGCTATTTAAATCACTGTTGTTGTTGTTATATGCCGTCAAGTCGGACCGACTCATAGCGACCCCACCTTAGGTTTCCGAGGCAGTATCACTACAGAAGTAGATTGCCCCATCTTCCTTACGAGCAGTGGCTGGTGGGTTTGAACCGCCAGCCTTCTGGGTAGCAGTCAAATGCCTTAGGCACTATGCTACCAGAGCTCCTATATTTAAAGCATAGTCTCACATTTAAAGGTAAAATCAAAGGTATCTATAAATATGTGTATGTGGCTAGATAGATGATAAGTATAAAGGAATGCCTCAGAGTATGATGGAGGATGTTCTTGGGGAAAGGCCAATTTCTCTCTTTTTTTATTATTATTATTTTTTAAAATATATATTTGTCTACTATTTTAATTTTTGTGAAGGACATATATTAACTTGTAATTAAAATACAAATAAATTTAAGAATTGAAGAATAATAGGATATAATATTTATAAATTGGATTCAGAACAGTAGTAATAAATCCAAGTCCTGCAAAAGCCAATATACGTCAAGCACTTTTCACTATTTTTTTTCATTGTCATAATAGTTGTAATAGTTGTTTTCATTTTCTCATTTTAACATATAAGAAGACTGAGACTCAAAATAGTTAGGACCATTGAGTTATTATGAAGCAGCAACAGAATTTAAATCTATGTCAAGCAAATACCATAAGAATACCATACTATTTTCAGCCTATGGAAAATAATGCATATTTCTAATACAGTATTTATTTCACTCAACAATTTGCTAATGACACTTATACATCACACTCAACCATTACTTCTTAAAGGCAAAGATTGTTTTGGTGAATTAATAATTATTACTAAATAAAATTTAAATCTACATTAATCATTAACATTATTGTGTTATTTGTTCTTAAAGGTAGTGAGAAGAATTTTGGAACACAGTTTCTTCATTTATTTCTTGTGGAAGGAAGGCCCACAGTTAAATATGGATGTGGAAGTTCTGAAAGTATCTTGACTCTTTCTGCCAATTACAGCATTAACACAAATGCATTCATCCCTATCACAATACGGTGAGTACCCTACAAATAAACTGTTATGCTAAACCTTATTTTTTAAAGATTTTTATGTGTGTAATAACCATCAAAAAATGGGCATATTCTGAAAATTGTTTTGCTTTTTTTTTTTTCAGTTTGGTGGTATGAATTACAAATTAAACAAAAGTATATGATACCATTTAGTGGTGACCAAATTTTACACAAACTAAATTCATTGATTTAGCAATATCATGGAGCAAATAGATTAAAGAGTCAGTTCAGTTGAAATTAAGATCTAGTTTAATTCCTCAACAAAACATCTGTTGAGTGAAAAAGAATTGGAAAAAGTGATTCACTCTAAATAGAAAAAGAAAAAGCCAATAGAAAAGAAAAACTAACTGAATATTAAATTAAAATATCTCTCTGGATCATATAAGTTTTTTGGAAAATAGTCTTGCAGTCAGTTCATACTTCAGAATTAAGAAATCTCAGAAGAGATATTTGGTTAAATGTGATGGTCATATCCCAAGGGCATTACTGAACAAAATTTATGTAGCAGCCAAGAATTTTAATTCTTCATCAATGTAGCAATCTAATGATAACAATCTCAAAAGTTATTCTATGCTAATGAAAAATAGCATTTTGTGACTGGGTGTATGCATTTGATGACAATTAGATAAGTTAGTTTGATCAGCAGAAATCTTGGCTAACTTGTGAAGGTTATATAAATCAAATAAACTTTCCTAGGTCTGTATCAATCTGAAAATAGAATCAAGGAAATTGACAATAATCTGAAAATATAAACTCATTACAGGCAGGAACTGTATCTTACTCATATTTAATACACGTAGCAGATAAGAAATGCTCAGTAAATGTCTGAAGAAATGAGGGCATCTGGGTTGTGCATTTCATTTAGTTATAACAAGAAGGTAAAGAAATTACCCTAAGGTAATGAAATTATTATTTGTAAATTAGATTTTGAGCTTTGCACACACAAAATAAAATCTTGCAGAGCAAAGGACTTAACTCCTGTTACAATTATCTCTCTTACAAATATTTGCTGTTGATTGAGAGAAAGGACCACATTTGAGGATGAGAAACTTAGAAATTTATTTAAAAGGCATTCTTTCTTAGTAGGTTTTTCTCATGTCATCATTTTATACAAAATATGGCACATTTGATTATATCCAAAGTAATTTCTATTTTTTTACAAAAATTTTTTAAAAGGAAGATTTTATCTTTGTTCTTTGAGTAATTAATAAGATGTGATGAACTCATCCTCAGACAAACCACTCACATCTTTAGGTACCCTCAGGTGGAGTTGTTGCTACGTGCTGTCAAGTTGGCTCTGACTCATAACAACCCTATGTGCAACAGAACAAAACACTGCCTGATCCTGGGCCAGCCTCACAATCCTTGCTATATCTTGAACTCACTAATGCAGCCACTATGTCAATCCATCTCATTAAGGGTGTTCCCCTTTTTCTCTGACCCTCCACTTTAACCAGCATGATATCCTTCTCCAGAGAATGACCCCTTCTGACAATATGACCAAAATAGGTGAGATGAAGGCTGGCCATTCTCATTTCCAAGGAGCATTCTGACTGCACTTCTTCTAGAACAGTCCATGGTCCTTTCAGAATTCTTTGCCAGCACCACAACTCAAAAGCATCAACTCTTTTTCAGTCTTCCTCACTCATTGTCCAGCTTTCACATGCTAATGAGGTGATTGAAAACACCATGGTTTGGATTAGACACCCCTTAGTCTTCAAAGTGTGGGAGCTCTGGTAGCATAGTGGCTAAGTCACTTGCCTGCTAACCAGACGGCTGGCGGTTCAAACCCACCAGCCACTCCTCGGAAGGAAGGTTGGGCAATCCTACTTCCGTAGTGATACTGCCTCGGAAACCCAAGGAGGGGTCGCTATGAGTCGGGGCCGACTTGACGGCACATAACAACAACAACAACAAGTCTTCAAAGTGACATCTTTGCTCTTCAGCACTTTAAAGAGGTCTTTTGCAGCAGATTTGCCCAGTGAAATATGTCTTCTGGTTTCTTGACTGCTGCTTCTATTGGTATTAATTTTGGAACCAAGTAATATGAAATCTTTGACAACTTCAAGCTTTTCTCCATTTGTTGTGATGCTGCTTATTGGTGCAGTTTTCATTTTCTTTATGTTGATGTGTAATCCATACTGAAGACTGTAATCTTTCATCTTCCTCAGTAAGTGCTTCAAGTCATCTTCACATTCAGCAAGCATGGTGGTGTCATCTGCATATCACAGGTTGTATCATCTGCATATCACAGGTTGTTAATGAGTCATCACCCAATCCTGATGCCACATTCTTCTTCATACGGTCCAGCTTCTCAGATTATTTGCTCAGCATACAGATTAAAGAAATTCAGTAAAAAGATACAACCCTGACACACTCCCCTCCTGATTTTAAACCATGCAGTATCTCCTTGTTCTGTTATTATTTTTCTGGATTAGCCTATCAGTGGGAGCTCTGGTAGCATAGTGGCTAAGGCACTTGACTGCTAACCAGAAGGCTGGTGGTTCAAACCCACCAGCCACTCCTCGGAAGGAAGGTTGGGCAATCCTACTTCCATAGTGATACTGCCTCGGAAACCCAAGGAGGGGTCGCTAGGAGTCAGGGCTGACTCGACGGCACATAACAACAACAACAACAACAAGCCTATCACTGACAGCATTGTACTTCAGAACAATCTTGAAATATGTTTTGTGATGCTGAATGCCACACCATTTCTCTTCAATTTGTCATTCCCAGCATAATAGGTCATATGGTTATCTGATTCAGAATGGCCAAAGCCCATCCATTTCAGCTCGCTAATGCCTAGAATATAGATTTTTATGTGTTCCATTTCAAAAAACAGATGGTGTAAATTCTAACCCCCAATACCTGTAGTTATAATCCCCCATTTGGGAATGTTAAAGAGACAATATTAGCATGTGGAGTCTTAAATTAATCTCTTTTGAGATATAAAATAAGCAGATTGAGTTGCAAGCAGAGATAGGGAAAGATAACAATTGTGCCACATGAAGATTACTGAGAAACCAAAGAGCAAGGACTTTCTCCAGAGCCAACAAAGACACAAAGCTTTCCCCTAATGCCAGCATCTTGATTTGGGATTTTGGACTCCTACCCTCCTAAACTATGAGAAAATAACCTCTGTTTGTTAAAACCACCCACTTGTGATATTTGTTATAGCAGTACGAGATAAATGAGACAAATGGCAAATCAAAATAGAATCTTAATTCTCATGTGTTTAAAGTGTAATGAGGAAAATTGGCAAATAGTCACACTAATGAGGGAATAATTGAAATTTGTGATGTGTTGGGGGATTAAAAAAAAATACAATGATGTAAGAAGAGAAAGTCACAAAGTATCATGAACAAAGCTAGAAGGACCAGGGAAGTTCTCTGGGGGAAAAAAAGAACTAGAAGAAAACTTGGTTTAAAAAAAAAAAAAAAAGGGCAAAGAAGTAGGTATGTATTCCAAGCATAAATAAATATATGTGAAGAGAAGGACCTTGATATATGCAAGTCAGCAAAAGACCAGTGTAGATGGAACAGAGAAGCAGAGGTTAGTATGGAAAGACAAAAGACTGAAAGGTCAGCAATTGAAAATGCTGTAGGATCTAATAGCCACACTGAGGAAAGTATGGAGGGGCCAGTTAGATGGCTGTTATAGTAGTCCAAGTAAAAGATAATGTTGGCTTGAACTAGAATGGCATTGAAGAGAAATTGGCAAATTTAAGACATAATTAGGAAGTAAAATGGATAAGACTTATGATTTATTGAATGCCAGTACTGAGAAGAAAGACGTGTCAGAAATGACTACTCATTTCCTGACATGTGCAACTAGGTAGAAGATGTTATTTATACTAAGATAGCAAAAAGTGCAAGAAGAGCAAATTTGATGAGGAAGATCATGAGTTCAGGCTTGAAAATACTAAGATTAATTGACTTTGAAACATCCAAGTGGAATTTTTAAATTGAATGTATGGCTCTATAGCTCAAATGAGAGGACTGGATGGGGAAATATAAGTTTATGAGTCCTAAGTGCACATATGATAACTGAAGCCACGGGCATAGATGAGAGTACAGAATGAGAAGAGAAGCTGCCAGGGACAATCTTGAGGACTTAGCATTTAATGACTGAATAGAGGACAATGAATCTGTAGAAGAGTCTGAGAACAAGTAAGCAGAGAAATAAAAGACAAAGAGAGTAGTGTCAAGGAAAGAAATGGTCAAGTTTACCCAACTATTTTGGTAGTGTACTGGACTGTCCACATGATTCTATAACTGGGAGACTTCAAAGTAGGAAAATATAGTCAGAAGCCAAGCTGGAGTTTATGGAAAAATGACTAATATATGAGGAAATTGGAATAATAAATATAAACAACTCTTTCAAGAAATTTTACTTTGAAAGTGTGAAGAAGAATAAATAGAGGGAGGTGAGGTATCAAGAAAAAATAAAATTTAACAGGAAAGATGTTTGAGCATGTTTAATTGTTGATTGGAATGATTTAGTTGAGTGGAAGTTAAGACAAAATAATTGAGAAAATAAAACTCATCAAAGTTTGAAGCAATAAGATACAAAGAACAGGAGGGAGAATTACTGTCAGAGAGCAGAAAATGAAGAAAGAGGCACACTCATCGAGGCTTATGCTTTCTGTCTTTGTGGATGTACCTTGATCTATTACCGTCCTTTGTTTTATCCCACCCTATCCAGTTGTTTATGCCACCTTCTCTCTTAGTCTCAAGCACCCTCTTCTTACTTTTCTCATCATTAACTGGGCATAATTTAGAATTTAATAGATCTTTTTTTTACAAGTCCCCCTGGCTATGCTTATTCTCACTAAAAAAACTCTCACTATCCAAATTCAGGATGAATTTCTCCCTAAAAAGCAGGTGAATTAGGTTCCGTTTTAATCATTATGAATATTGAACAAATGTCTTCCATATTTAAATGGTTCTTGATGCTAGAATACTCATGGCATGATGGTTAAGAAT